CCAGTTTGAAAACCACTGTCCTAGTGCACAATGTAATTTTGGGCTTGATGTCCGATTAAAACATGCTGTATCTTTAAGTACTTAAATTTTCCCCGTTAAAAACGACCATTTATTGTAAATAAGATGCAAAAATGGCTTGTTCTGCACTTTTGAAACTTGGTGACATCACAGAGTTTCTTAAAGGTGCAGCAGGAATAAAACTAACTAAAAATGACAAAACTTTATAACTGGACATCAAGTGGAAAAATGAATATAAAGAATACAGTAATAAAACAGTGACCCCTTTAGGCAACTTACTGGCTGTCGTTTTCTTTTCTCTCTGTGTCTGTGCAGCATGGCTCTTAGCTCCTTCTCACCCAGCTCAGGCTTGTCTACATGGAAAATCATATTTAGCTTCTTATAACTTCATATAGCGTTAAAGCTAAAGCTTTAACTGACCTCTGGTTTTCATGTCCTGAGTAGAAAGGCTGGGTAGCACCCTGAGAGAGACAGTTGGAGTTGGGGAGGAAGGCGACTGAGGAACAGGCAACCAAGAGGCTGTATCTGCTTGATCTGCATGAACACATGATCATCATATCAATTATCATTACAATAAAGAATAATGGTGCTGAAAAAGATGTTTTCACACTGCATCACACTAGGGCTGTGCGATATGGACAAAAAAAACCTATCGCGAATTCTTTGATAAATTTTGCGATTTCGATTTTAATCACGATTTTGACACACAGACATGCTTTACAGTCATTAATGCATTCAGTGTGAATTTGAAACATATTTCCCAAAGAAAACCAATTAGAGATTTATCAAAAAGCTGTAACATGTCTCATGTGTATGCGGTGCAGAAGCAGCACGGACTCATTTTGCTTTCACCCAGGACGCGTTTGCAGACCGCTCCTGATGTTTGTGGCTGTTTACCACAAACACAACATTTATCCATTATTTTGATTTCAAATCCAAACGCTGTTTCTGAAAATGCTTTTTCAGCATTGTGATTCTCTTTTATCACAGTACAGTAATACAATCTTTCATAGACATATTCACGTTTAAACTCAATAAATATAACTTTGTTTAACTACCACCACGAGTGCCATCTATTATTGCCTTGTTTATCCAAAAAGCCATGTGTTGACTGTGAAACAGTAGACTTGAATTATATGCATTTATGGTGTAATTACTAAATTTCTGTGTCAATCCATGTTCATTTTTACCGCGAATAATGCGCTGTCACTTTAATTCAGCGCGTGCAGCACAGCAGAAATGACTGTGAGCTCCTGGAGCGCACTGCCCGACCGCAATCGCGTGCAGTGTGAACGCTCTGATCCGTTAACATGGGTGCGGAAAAAATACGCACCACAGACGGAGTGTGTGAACCTGGCGTTACGTTTGTATGCCCGCCCGGTCTGTTCTGTTCTCGTGCTCCATTTAGGCGCACTGCATTCTGATTGGTTCGGCTAGCATACTGCGGGAGGTCGGGGGCGCGGAAAATCGTGCTATAAAGTGATTTAGAAATCGCACAAGCTCAAATCGCGATTTTATGGCGATTTCGATTAATCGCACAGCCCTACATCACACTCACCATCTTCATCAGATGACACATTACTGTCCCCACACTCTGTTTTCACATCCTTCAGTATGTGACCCACTCGACATCTCACCCTCTGCTCCAGCATCTCTTTATGAGAGGGGGCAGGGTACCGCCGTTTTACCGCAAGCTCAGGTCCACTGCGGACCGCCAAATCCAGCAACTCCTGCATTACAAGAGAAACCACATGCATTCAATAGTAGATTACATAGAGTTGCACCAGCTACTCGATTATATTTCCAAAGTTTGTGGTAGGTAAGATTTTTTGAAGTTTTTTAAAAGTTTTTAATGCTTATCCAGACTGCATTTATTTGATCAAAACATGGTAAAAAAGTAATATTGTGAAATATTATTGTAATTTAAAATAACTGTTTTCTATTTAATATATTGTAAAATGCAATTCATGCCAAAGCTGAATTTCCAGCAGCCATTAATCCAGTCTTCAGTGTCACATGATCCTTCAGAAATCATTCTAATGTGCATTTCTTAATATTTTCAATGTTGAAAACAGTTGTGATGCTTAATATTTTTGAGGATATCATGATACATTGTTTCAGGATTCTTTGATGAATAGATTTAAAAGAACAGTATTTAACTAGTATTTAGTATTTCATTTTCATATAAATGTTTTGTAACATTCATTAATCATTTTTGATCAATTTAATGCATCCTTGCTGAACAGACGTATTACATTTTTTCAAAACAGAAAAAATCTTACTGACTTCAAACTTTTAAACAGCAGTGTATATGGAAAGATAAACATTGACCATGTTACAGAAACTGAATTAGCTTTTCTGTGAAGTCTGTGATTTCTTTGTACCTTTCTAGAAACCAGGATCTGCTTGAGTAATTTGTGGTAGTACTGCTGAAGGGAGTAGATGTGTCTTTTTTTCTGCGATTTAGCACAAAGTTGTCTGTACTTGACCACCTCTGGGTTAAAGTAACCATCTAAGGAAAGATGAACAAACTAATATGCATGAAATTGTATTCTGAATTGTATTTTAGTGAAGTTAAAGTTGTATTTTAAAATACAAGGGTTGAAAAGAAAAAGAAAAAGAGAGTAACCTCTGAACAGCTTCTGGGCAATGTGCAAGGGGTTTCCGAAGAAGAAATTTTGGTTGTTAAAAAGGTCGCTGATGATGCTGTTCTGTTCTGAGATGTTATTATCGGAGAACTGAGGCAGGAGTTGACGTAGATGTGTCCGTTGAGCATCTGTGAGCACATCTGTCCATGTGCTCTCACTCATCACTGAGAAGAATATCTCTGGCTGCTCTTACGCAAAGACACAAATGCACACAAGATAAACGGATGGTTTAGTTTTTACTCTCATGTTTTCATAAAATAATAAATAAGAAGGCTACTAACTCACGTCCTCCAGCAAATCTTCAGGAACCCGAACTCTACGGGTTCCCAACATGCACTCTTCCATCACACGTCCATCCTGGTCCATTCCAGACTCCAGTGGGTCTGTTAACATGTGATCCAATGCATCCATCTTTACCTAACCCTTCACAGCAGCAAAAACGGTATCTGTGCGTTTACAAAATTAAATATTATCAACTGAGGAGGAAACAGGTCTAAAGACATATGAAAAGCAGTATTTTGTATTATTTTAGTAATTAACTCGCCTTTTAAAATATATAATTATTAAATTGCTGCATTTCACACAATTGTATTCAATATACCATTTGTGATAATTAAATAAATGACAACAAAATCAACATACATTCAAACTGTCAAGATACTTAACTTTAGCATGTTCGCTTGCGTATTACATTTTAAGAACAACACACCAGATGAATTTAAAATAGAAAAAAAAAAACGATGAAACCGCGTATTATTTCCCGCGACAACTGTATTGACAACTTGTAGGTATGTTTTTTATGACAAAAGACACATGTAATAACTATCTTTGATGTGTTGCTAATTCTGCTAACGTTACTAGCTAATACAACGAGCTAACCGTCCCGTTCAGCCTTTACATCTATTCTGATTAAATTAACCAAATGTATCGTTTTCGTTTATCTGTTTTACGTATATCAAGAAAATATTTAAAGCATCTTACCATGAATGTTGGTGGAAATTAGGAATGAATATGCTAGCTAGCTCCGCACAAGGGCGGTGGGAATAATAACATTGGTGCACATTTCCGGTCTGTCATCTGTAAAAGAATGATTTCTCAAAAATATTGCTACTACTACTGTGTACAGATTGAATAATTAAATAAAAACACACAAATGAACGAATAAAGACAAATCCATATATTCGTGCATAAATAAATATATAATTAAATGTGGAAGTGAATGAATAAATGAATAGTTGAGGAAATACGAAAATGTTAAAGAAATTCAAATATTTCTATTTTTCCTTTGTTGCACTACACTTAGCGGCAAAGATGCAGCATCACACATCACACGTTTTCATCCAAATTTTTTCGCCTTTGAAAATTCAAAATCATCATATTTTATAATAGCTTTATTATTTTATAATATGGTTTCATCCTCCATAAGAAAATACAAGTTTAGTTATGAATTTATTTTCCAATTTTAAATGCACAAATGCAAATATAATAATTGCAAGCCTTACATTACAGGTAATAGAAATGGACAGAAATAAGGCATTACATCGATATCATTGTACAATATATAAACAAAAATAAGATACTTTAGATAATTAAAATTATTCACTGATCTTTAGACATTTTCATTTTTGTGTTAACCTATTAACATGTTAAATTTGTTATATTTAAAATGTATTTGATGCAACTGTAATATTTGTCATAACTTTGTTAAAATGTAGCATCAAGCCCTGAATTCACAACATGAAAAATAAGCAAATACAAAGCAGATTAGAATTTCCCTTTTAATGTTTATCAAAGAATTTACCATATCAAGGCACATTATGGGAACGCCAATCCTCCAAGGAGGGCATTAACAAAAATAAAAATATAACATTTTAACTAAATCACAGATACACATAACAGTAAAACAAAAATTATGTAAACAAAATTGCAAAAATACAATCTAAAAAATTGCCAATTGTTTGAACAAAACATAAAAATGCTGACATTTTCATATTTCAAAATGTCAATGGATGTTATAATAAATCTAAGGAGTAAGAACACAAACTGTCACACACACACACACACACACACACTAAATATACTTAGTCTGCAACTAACATACAAAGTTTAGAAATTATATAATTTTATCAGCATACATTTCAAATTAAAAAAATGTTCAAGCAGGACCTTAACTGCCCAGAAAAAATGAAAACAATAAAATGATTTCCTATTACTTAGCACATAGACAAAACTCTTTAAGAGTGTAAATACATAGAGAAATAAATGAAGAAACTATGAAAGCTCATTATTATATTCATGGAAAATGAAAGTCAAAAAACAAAAAATTTAGTGGACATTTGGCCTGATTATAGGAATCTTTATGGCTTCTGAAATAAAACTCAATGAACATGAATGCCTTAATTATTTTCAATAACTCTCAATACAGGTTGATACTGTTTGCTTTAGTCCATTTCGTGTCACTGTTGTGACATTATACCCCTGTCATCTCCCTGATCCAGCTGCGGTATTCTGTGATGCGTGTGTAAACGCCGGGCCTGTTCCTGCGACCGCAGCCATCTCCCCAACTCACCACGCCAGCAAGAAACATGTGGCCACTGCTCTCAGTGGAAGTCATTGGACCACCTGAGTCACCCTGGCAGAGGAATGAGGAATAAATGTGCATTACTGACAAATGTAAGGCTATGACATGTATCTGAATGTGAAAAAAACAGAAGATCTTTCATTTCACCTGACAAGCATCTACGCCTCCACTCAATACACCTGCACAGATCATGCGTGGTGTTATCCCATCATCCATCAGCTTGTTGCACACAGTGTTGTTAATAATGCGCACCTCGGCCTTCTGCAACAATGATGCAATGGCATCTAAAGCAGCGAGAAGATATTTTCTTAGCTTACTAACACTTTTAGGCTCTTATTATGTCCTAATTTGTACTGAAATACATTCACTGCAAACCTGAGTTTTGAAGTGATTTTTCTTTCATTATCTGGTTTGGGCAAACAGAGCAGCTCATCATGTCTTATCATGCACTTACCAGACAACTTGACTAAATTTATGTTTCTCTAGAGGGTTTATGAATAAAGGTGCAAAAAACTGCTTTAGCCAGTCTGGCAGTCATGTTGGACTTATGTTTTTCGTTGAAATGCACTTTTAGGAATCAGTCATGATTGATTTATTCGCACCATGCATGCACCATGTCAAATAAAACTGCTTTTAATTTTCATCAGGCAATTGATACGATTGATTTTCATTTCATAATGAGTGTACAAATCCTGTAGAATTTCCCCAAAAATATTAAGCATCACTGCTGTTTTCAACATTGATAATAATCAGAAATGCTTCTTGAGCGCCAAATCAGCATATGTGAATGATTTCTGAAGGATCGTGTGACACTGAAGACTGGAAAAATGGCTGCTCAAAATTCAGCATTGCATCCCAGGAATAAATTACATTGTAAAATATATTAGAACAGAAAACAGTTATTTAAATAATAATATTTCACTTTATTCCTGCTTTTACTGTATTTTTGATCAAATAAATGCAGCCTTGATGAGCATAAGAAACTTCTTTCAAAAACATTTAAAATATCTACCGACTCCAAACTTTTGAATGGTAGTGTAGGTTATATTGTACTTACCACTTTTCTCTCTCTGTTTGCCCCAGCCAGTGATCCAGACAGATTTGCCTGCTGGGAAGTCATGTGTGGCTTCAGGTAAGCAGACGGGCCAGATGTTCTGGCTGAGAGTTACAGGGCTGTCCAACTCCATCAGCGCGATGTCATTGTCGTCGCTCAAGTGATCATACTGAGGGTGAGAAATGATGCGCTTCACGCGTTTTAGGGTGGACTTACTAGTCTCACCCTGGTTAAGTAGACCTAGATAGACTTCCCACTGGTCAGGCTGGGAATATCTAGCAAAAGAACAAACATTCAGTCAGGATCAGAGCAGGAGGGGAGGAGAGGGCCAAACAACATAAGAACTCACTTGAACTTTTCACTGTCCTGCACGCAGTGAGCAGCAGTGACCAGCCAGCGGTTACTGATAACAGACGCACCGCACACATGACCTTGTGTATTCATGTGGAGGCTGACCTGCCAGGGCCATTCTCCCTCACTCGAGTCCTTTCCACCGACAATACGACTGGACTTGTAGGGCTTCGTCCCGCATTCTACAGTAAATCAAACAGACATAGCCTAAATGAACATACTATTAATGGCACATTTTCATTGCATTAAACATATCTAGCTTTAAACATCAGAAATACATATAATACAGCAGTCTTGACAGTCTCGTCTCTATCCAACAATTCAAATTTTGGCATACTGTAATCTGCTGAATAGATATTAAAATTTCACATATGAGTGAATTATAGATACAGTACCAATCATTCTGTCAAATATCTTCTGCACCTCGTCCAAGTCTGGAAGCTTAAATACATGTTTTTCTTTGTCCCTGTGTGATGCTAAGCGATTTATATTTTCTATTTTTACGTCAACTCCAACTCCAAATACATAAAGTGCTGAAAAGAGAGTCGAGGACACATTCATATCAATTTAAAATCAATTATAAAGACTTATAATAAAGGCAAAATCAATATGTACAGTGATGATAATGCTGCTTGTGAATGAAAGTAACAAAGTCCAAACAATTTGATTTCAAATACAATTATGATTAATACAATTTATTGCTCACCGAGTTTCTCCTCTCGCTTTGGATCATGTTTGGTGACAAGCTGTTTATTTTGGTCCACTTTAGGTGCGGGATTCCCCCCCATGTTTGTCTTGCTTATCAAGTAAAAAGAGATCAATATACAGAAATTATTTGCTTCAAAAGTCTATTCAAAAAGACTATTTGCTCTGTTCTTATTTATAATACTATAATACTTGTAATACATTGGGCATTTCATGTATTCATTTATTAATTCTGACAAAGAACTTAAACTACTTAATGGCAAAATACCTAAGTACAGACACACACACACACGCTGGTTTCCATGTTTTATGGAGACCTTTCATACTTCATACTTTCATACATGCATACTTTATACTGTACAAACTGTATCTCCTTACTCTAACCCTACCCCTAAACCTACCCTTCACACTAAATTTTCTGCATTTTTCGATTTTTTAAAAACTTAATTCTGTATGATTTATAAGCTTGTTTCCTCATGGGGACCAAAAAAAAAAGACCACAAGGTCAAAATTTACTGGTATTACTATCATTGTGGGGACATTTGGTCCCCATAATGTACAGTCATGGCCCAAAGTTTTGGCAGTGACATAAATTTTGTGTTTTGCAACATTTGCTGCTTCAGTATTTGTAGATTATTTTTCCAAATGTTTCTATGGTATACTGAAAAACAGTGATAAGCATATCATACGTTTTAAAGGCTTTTATTGGCAAAAAAATAGAATGAGTCAATATTTACAGTGTTGACCCTTGTTCTTTATAACCTCTGCAATTTGCTCTGGCATGCTGGATATTAGCTTCTGGGTCAAATCCTGACTGATGGCGAACCATTCTTGCCTTATTATTTTCCTCGGAGTTGATCACAATTTGTGGGCTTCTGCTTGTCCACTCGCCTTTTGAGGACTGACCACAGGTTCTCTATGGGATTGAGATCCGGGGAGTTGCCTGGCCACGGATCCAAAATTTCAATGTAATGATCTTCGAGCCACTTCTTTATCACTCTTGCTTTGTGACATGGTGCTCCATCACGCTGGAAAATGCACGGATCATCACCAAACTGTTCATGGATCGTTGGAAGAAGTCGCTCTTGCAGGACGTTTTGATACCATTCTTTATTCATGGCAGTGTTTT